GTGATCCTCATGGCCAGCAGTTTGAAACCACTAGCAGCTCCGAGGGAGAAAGACTGGGCTTTCTATTTCCATAAGCAGTTACAGTCTCAGAAACCCACAAGGGGCCGCTATGAGTCAGCATTGACTTAGTGGCAACGAAGCCGTCATCAAAGGATCCTGTGCTCTTCGATACACACCTCATCAAAGTGGCCGTTTGGGTATCCTTGATCAAACCGTGTTCCTTGTAAAAATGTTCTTTGGGTTTGGGCAGCAAGAAGTCTGAAGGGGCAAGGTCAGGGTTGTAGGGTGGATGGGGTAAGGTTTCCCAATGAAATTCTCATAGGGCAGCCTTTCCTACTTCTCAAAAATAAGCAGGTACAAGCGGCTCTGGTCTTTTTCTCACCAGTGCATTATTCAGTTTTCTTAAAAGTTTTCCTAATAAGTCCCTGTGAGCATGCTGTGTCCTTTGAGAAACATTCGCCTCCTTCCCCCCAGAACACCAATCTACATAGCCTGGGCTTTTCTGAGTTTCTATGATTTTGTAGCAATACTTTTTGACTCAGCTTTGAATTCAATTGGCCTAGAAGATCCCATCCTAAGTCACTGTCTTTATCGAACTCTTTTTCTTTTTTGGAAAGCATCATAATGAGCCTAAATCAGAGTATTCTGAGTGAACTTGGCTGCAGCCATCAAATGATCACCAACGCATGTTTTAAACACATTCTGTTGGAAGTAAAATCATACATGAACTGCTATCTTAGTAACAGTAGTTTTTGAAGGAGACTCGTGTTTTAATCAACCAGACCTCTCAGAGAACTCTTATCCATGAGGTTGACTTAATCTATTTTCCTTTATGCGTAAAACCAGTTATTCACCCAAATAAAATGTAATACAATCAGCGGCATCAGATTAGAGGAAGAAGAGGAGCAATGGGCACAACTCCCGCCACAGGCAACCTTCAGACTGTATGCAGACTAGTCCAGGAGCAGACGTTTCGCACTTGAATCAGAAGGAGGATTTGACTTTGGGCCATGAGTAGACAGAATGTTACCAATTAGCAGGGGTGGCATTATGGGTGGTGGGAGGGAGATAGGCACACTACCTTGGGTGTTTGTTTCATTTTATATTCTTCTTCCTGCTCAGCTACACTTCCCTGTAGCTTTGGAATAGAGACCTAGAAACAATACGTCCTTGTTTTACAAGAACGTGCTTTCACAGAGAGCTCCTAGCAGAGTCTGGTACAGGGAGGAGGGTGAGGAGCTATTGCTGCCCAAGGGACTATCAGAAACTGTGCATGACTTTGTGGGGGGGATCTACTTCCCCTTCCCTAGGGGTTCTGAAAGGCAATGAATAATTAAAGAATGGCTTTGAACAGCTCATGCAAGTAAATAAAGAGGAAATGTCATGGCACGGAAGTTTAACTTATAAACAAATATCTTAACTAGAAAAGACTGTTTGTCACATGCTAGGAAAATCCCTCTTTATTTTCCCCTGATAATATTGCAGATTAGGAGAGGAGGTTAAGACATTCCATCTCCTGTGCTGGAAAAGCTCCCTCATTGGTAGAACTAGCTTGTTACATTTCCCATCTGGTCTAAGATTTTGCTGCACTGCACTATCGAATCCTTGCAATCAATGGAACTAATGTTTTTCTCCTAAGATTATTGTGAGGAAAACCTGAGACAATCCATTTAAGGGAAACATAAAATTTGCTCAGTGCCTGGTCTTAGGGGAGAATCCGCGAATTTGAGCCTGAGTCTAGGATCTGAGTGCAAGGGGCTGATGTTGAAGTGAGCGCCTTGGGGAAGTGAAAGTCAGGAGAAGACACACAGATTTTCTGATGAATTGTTTGCCTCTGCAGATGGAGCTCAATCCTCCTGCGGATTTCTAGAAGACCACGTGGAAGCCGCTGAGGAGCTGCCCTATCTCGGGAGGACCAAACTGGGCTCCATAACGCACTAGAGAAGGGAGATGATACAAAGTGGAAGACTAAAGTCAGATGAAAATTCCACTTTTTAAGTGTAAGCTCAAACAATCAAGTACTCCAAATTGAGATGGGAGAGATCTGGTTTGGCAGCAATTGCTTTAAAACGATCCAAAGATTTTAGTTGATTATAAACTTAAAGTGAGCCAAGAGCATGACGTAGTTCTTTAAAATGCGAACACAGGCTAGGACTGTATTAATAAAAAGAGGAAGTGGAGACACCCAGAGAATACTCTACCCCCACACCTTCTTCTGAGAATAAGGACAGGACAAGTTGAGTAGAAGGAAGATAAACAGCAATTAGGAGAGTAGACCATTCAAAGAAATACTTAAGGATGGCAAAGATTTGAATATATTTATAGGCTCAGGGGGAGGGTTTAAGAGGGAGCAGGTAAGGATGAGAACACAGGAGAGTAGGTATAATTAATAATACAAGAGTCTGATAAAATTGGGAGGAGTTGGCTTTGGATTAGACGGGGGGAGGGGTGGTGGGAGATGCCTCACCCTGGGAAGGAAGGCTGGAGTTACTGCAGATACACTGGTATGCTTGGGAAGGAATTTAGGCTCTTGGGAAGAGCCTAAGCTGATTTCAATTTGCCTGATGAAGTCATACTCCATTGGGGCTCTGGACTGTTTCTGATAGCATGGAAAAAGAGAGACTAAGTGTTAAGGAGGTTGGAAGGGAAGAGGAAAGGCAGTCCTAGACAGAATGAGGTTCTTGGTCTTTGAGATGGAAGGCAGACAACAGCCAGTTTCTTCTGAACCTCGTGATACTGAACCCCGTTGCGTCTCTGTAGGCTCTCTCTACCTCACTCGGGACGGCAGGGCCAGCTTCCTTGTTGGAGGACAGGGCCACGCTCAAGTATCATGGCTTTTCTTTTTAATAACCTGGTGGGGAATACTTAAATTTATTTAGGGGAAAATGTCTTTGAAGGACAGGCTTTTGAATAACATCCCTGCAATACATAAGTCCTCTGCTAAAACTTAAGACTAAAATTCCCAAGTGGCAGAATTTACACAAAGGTTACTAGTCATTTGCCATCACAGAGTTTTCAATGACTGAGTTTTCAGTAGGTTAATTAGTCTTTCTTCCAAGGTGCCGCTGGGTGAACTCAAACTTTCAACCTTTCAGCATATTTAGCTTACTTGCACCAGCAAGAACTCCTTTAGTTAGGTGTCGTGGAATCAGTTCTGACTCATAGAAACCAAAACCAAACTCACAGCCATTGAATTGATTCTAGCCCTCTAAGGCAGGGTAGAACTTCTCTCGTGCTTTTCTGAGACTGTAACAGTTTATGGGGATAGAAAAGCTTTGTTTTCCTCCTTGGAGTAGCTGGTGGTTTGGAACTGCTGACCTGGCCATAGGCAGTCCAACATGTCATCACTTGCCACCAGGGCCCCTTCTGACTCAAAATCACCCTCCACAAAACAGAATGAAACGTTGCCTCCTATCATCGTGGCTATGTCCGACCTCACTGTTGCAGCTACAGTGTCAACATCTCTTTGACGGGCTGTGCTAAGCATGCTAAGCATGCGGTCTCTCACAATGATATGCCAAAAGGGACTCCTTACACAAAGGAAATAATTTTAAAATACCAAAATGAAGATGAGTCTTGCTGGTATAATTCTTTATCAGGCAATATTTAAAATTAAGTCAAACAATGTTTCAAAATAAAAGAAAAGCTATGTAGTTGATAAATGCAAACAGAATGAAAAAATCCTCATTGCCAAGGAGTGAATGTGGACTCATACTGACCCTATAGGGCAGGGCAGAACTGCCCCTAAGGGATTCACAGACTGTAACTCTTCATGGGAGTAGAAAGCCCATTTGTCTCCCACGGAGCTGGCTGGTGGTTTTGAACTGCTGACGAGCCTTACAGTTAACAGGCCAATGTGCATAACCACCAGGGCTCCTTGTTGTAGATATAGTTACAAACAAAACCAAAGCTTTGCATAACCAAATATTTCATGGGATTCGGTTCTTTGGCTTGAGGTTTCTGGTCATTGACCCCAAAATATCTAGTACTTCTGTTCTATTCCTAGTTCCCCTCATAGTGCCAGGGGTTTTAAAGGTTTGCAAACAGTTCCCCGGGTCACAACAATTGGTCTCCATTCACTTGGAGCGTGAGGAGGAATCAGGAATAGGGAGGCTGTGAAATGTGTGTTTACTTGCCTCGGAGAACACCTGCCTCTTTTGCCCCGAGGCCAAATGAAGGCTGGCAACCGTTCCTAAACATTCTGAATATTGAACAATATTCTAGAACACAATCCTGATCAAAAAGGGAAAACTACAAACCAGAATTTCAAATTCTCACGGATCTCAGACTCTGCAACTACAGGGACTGGATGAACCCCTTAAAATATTGCCCTGGGACAATCTTTAAATCTTAAGCCAAAAATAAATCTTGACATCTACATAACACCAAACAGCTGAACTGGTACAAAATATCTGCCTTGACCATCACGTTCTTTTAAGAACTATGCATATGAGATAAAAGTGACAACAGCAATTCAAAGGTTAGATAGGAAACTTAGGGGGTCATGGGTTTGTTAATGGGGGTGGGGAGCCAACTCCAAAAGGAGGGTGCAGGAAGGATCTTGAGAACTCATTCACCAAACTGAAGCTGGGCGTTAGGCAAACGGGATTAGCCTTCCCTCTGCCTTCAAGGCTTCAGAAAAATCAGCGTCTCCAAAATAAGAGATGAGGGCCGCTGAGGCATACAGTGCAGTAAGGTACTGAAGAAATCACCACCTCTCTGAGCGGAAATCGACTCCCCAAGGTCGAGAGAGCGTGCCCAAGGACCGGCTTGCTCGCGGTTTCCTCGGTCCTCTTGTCCGGGGCCACCAGCATGTCCTCGCGAGCCAAGCCCGCGGGACCGACACCTCCGACCCACACTAGCACCGCGAGAGGGCGCACGCCCGAGCGAATCCACGGAAGTGCCGCCTCCACTTCCGGCGACAGGAAAAAGGGGAGGGACTGCCGCTCACTTCCGGTTGCGTACCTCTACCGCTGAAGCACGTGTGTCAGGTTGGGATCCTGGATTTTCCTAGTCCCTTTTCCTGGCGCCTGGTAAAGTTGTCAAACCCCGATCTCTTCAGGCCTGAAGATGAAGGCAGTAAGTATCTTCAGAAGCTCATTGCCCGCGGTTTAGGGCCCCTCCGGTTCACAGAAAAGTGATTTGGTGTAACTTCAGCGTGCTTTTTGCCCTCAGTGTGGGGTGGCGGCCCGGATTCGCGCTCCCTTTGGCCTCTTTGCGCTGCCAGTTTCTTGGCCCTTAGACGGGACTCATCCTTAGGCCACTGCTCACGCTGGGCTGCAGGAAGCGGCGATGAGATAAGTAACGGAGTCTTGGCATCTGTAGGATGTCAGACTTTGAAGGCTTGAAGACCCAGCTTCCGAACCCCTTATTTTATGGAGGAGAAGTTGCCTCCTGCCTTTAACATGTGTATTATCTAAGTCGCGGGACCCGAGACTCAAGTCCGTTAACATCCTAAAGGGCAAGGAGCTAGGAAAGCAAGTGATGTACGTCGACTCTCGGCGAAAATTAGAGCTTGCCCTGGGATTTCGAATTTTGAATGAAGGATAAACAGCCAAAGTTGGGATCTTAACACCTCGATTCAGTTTTCTATTTAGCTTACTGGTCTTTGGCAACTTGTGGAAACTTTCTTAGCTCCAGCTTCTTCATCAGTAATAGGCTAAAAGGAATCATTGTCTTAATTAGCCTGTTGGGGATAATGGGGAGGAGTTGGCTTTGGATTGGAGCGGGGG